TGAGGTTTATTTGTTTCCCTTTCTTTGATTTGTAGGTGTCACTGTTCTCAACTACACGCTTCAATGTGCTGTGAAAAGCGCCACCTGGTACGTTCTTCTACAAAACACAAAAAACATCTTTGAAAACAGTCCTATAAATGACAAAGTGAGTTGTTTTAATGAAATTATTGTTGAAATACATACAGGTTCTATGATGGACTTCAACAGTTCTACACATGAGCTTTTTGATTTTTCAACCCCCTCAGTAAGGCAACTATCAAAAGCCTCATTCGCCTCTTCAATAGTTTTTCTGACTTTATCAAGTTCCTGCTTCAGTTTTTCTTCAAGGTTTTTGCACACATTCATTTTTTTGGCAGCCTGAAATAAAAAACAACAACAACAAGACATTCTGAAAGAAAGAAAGGAAGTTGCAGTTTCAAGCCCTGGCTGACCCGATGCCTTTGTGTTTGCATGTTCTCCCTGTGCCTGCATGGGTTCTCTCCTGCTTCCTCTCACAGTCAAAAGACATGCACACCTATTCAGGACAAGTGGTATAGATTATAGATGGATGGATTCAAGATAATCAAAGTGGTGTTACTACTTGATCTTACCACCTAACTGCATCTGGCCCCTTGAATCAAAGACAGAATCCCATGAGCTCCAGACACATAGTTTAATAAAGATAAGCAAATTGTGCTTAATGGTATATGATTGATATTGAAGATATCGGTTTTGTGTTTATTCTCTATATATCAACAACTTGCAGTTTGTATATTATACACTCAAATGTCATGATTCAATTAGTTATTTTTGTTAAAGTAAACAAAAAGAAAATATGTATTAGAACAACATATTTTCTGTCATGGAGACTTCACCTACCAGTTTCATCTCTGTCTAGAACTGTTCTTTCTAGAAACTCTATGGAGCACACCGTGAACACTTCGAAACATTCATCACTGAAATGTTTCTGGTAAAAAAAAGAGTTTGATTTTATAGCAGGTTTAGTGTTGTACACAATATTTGTATTACATTTTCTGTCAGTCTGTGTAACTCACCTTAATGTTGTCTTGTCTGCTGAACTTTATTTTCACTTCTTCTTTGGCCTTCTAGTTTCTTCCAAGTATGTGATCATGAACATCAGCTGCTGGACTATAAGAAAATATTTGTATTAAGTGGCGCCTCATACAGTATTTGGAGCACTGAAACATTTTTAACCGCCTTCTTTCAAAATAAAAGTCAAATTTATCTTTTGTGAAGCCTGAAAAGTGAAACACTTTATTTAACAGATCCATGATTTCCAAGGTAGTTTCCTGCAAAGAATTAGAGTTGGTAATAATTTTGTTTAGTTGTTTTTAAGCAGTTGTTGAGGAATTTCCTTGAATAGACAAAAGAAAGTTAGACTCCATCACATTAGTTACTCATTAGGCATTCATCTGTTACTGGGACCTTTAATGTACAGCGCTGCACAAAAGCTTTAAGAACTTTAGAGGTTTACATGCTTGTCCATAATGTAATTCCAACAGAGGGTGTGCTATAAAAATTATATTATTTAATATGTTTTAAAGGGCAGCACGGTGGCGTGGTGGTTAGCGCCGTTGCTTCACAGCGAGAAGGTCCTGAGTTCACGACCTTTCTGTGCGGAGTTTGCATGTTCTCCCTGTGCTTGAGTGGGTTCCCCTGACCCCATTTGGGACTAAGCAATATAGAAAATGACATGAGAATATGTTTTAAACTTTCAGAACAAAGCCATGTGAAGACGTCTGGCACTGATAACCTCTTCACCAGCTTCCTAGAATCCTGGTTCGGACGATGGAGTGGCCCGATCACCTCTATGCTGATCTCTCTGTTCACGGCTACAGCCCTACTGGTCATAAATAATGTCAAGGTGTAGTGGACTGTCAGGTTGAGCCAGAATCCCCTCTTGTCTGCTGATGAATTTAGCTTTAAGGGACAAATTTATCACCTTGGCTCTCGCTCATATATCCAGCTGAAATAGGACATGGGTGAGAGGTAATAACTGTTTGACTGCAGTGTGTGTGAGAGCGAGAAAGAGAGCTGCCGACATTTGCTGTGGTCCAGTAAAACCCCTATAATCCACCCTCCACCTTAGTTATTATTTTGACAAGGAAGGTGAAAAACAAGAGAAAAGTCATAAAACACCTGAAATGATAATGAACAATGTATTTGTAAGAGAAATATTCTTTTTGTTTTGTTCATTGGACTGCACAAATTTATCTTGAGACCACTTTAGGGAAATTGCCACTTCAGTGATCAGGTTAACATTTGGAGTGTGAACCAGTAAAACCAAAATTAGTCAAAAGATGATGAAGCACACCATAGAGCTGAGGGGAACTGCAGAATCCTGTACTAATACTGGTTGGCTGGTCACTACAAGGGCCACCTTTCTCATTATACCTATTCATTTGATCTAGTGCTATTACAAAATATTAATCAGTGCAGATTTAATGTTGGGGTTTTGTTTAGTAAGTACATATCTAATCAAGACGGAGCATTCCGGGTAATTCTGGGAAGCATGAATCTACTGCAGAACGACTTCTATTCTGACCTCTGGTGATGCTGCTTGATGGATAAGAATCTAAACATCTGAATTGCCTGAAACATTGATTGTATATTTACTATGTTTATATATCTATAATATATCTTTAGAATAATCTCTGTTGTTTTTGCAGATGGGTGCTGTCAAAGCAGGTACATTGCCTTTAAAAACTGATTAAATCAATGTCTGCAGTGTGTCCAGAAACACATACTTCACAGCCACAGCGAGCGGCATAACAAGTACTTTCAGCATTTTGTCGTGTTGTGATTACACTTTAGAAGTTATGAAGCATTATCCCATTACTATTCCATTATCCCACTGTGACTCTGTGTCATAACCTGAAATGGTGTGTTTAAAAAAGGAGGTCCTGGGATGAACAAGATTAAGAATTAATAATGCGGTCTAAAAGTTTAGACAGGGGGAAATGTTATAAAAACTACATTATTTAATATGTTTTAAACTTTCAGTACAAAGCCATGTGAAGAAACTGACTGTGTAGGCCTGAAGGTTGCTTTTTATCTTTCATGTGAAACTTTGTGTGCTGTGATACACCCGACTATAGAATGTTCCACACAAAGCGAGACACAACTATCAAACTGCAGGATAAAACATGTGTTCCAGTATGATTAGCTTCTAGGTTGTGCTATCAGGGTGTGCTTCTTACTATATATTATGCTGTGTGAAACTGTCTTACTCAGACAACTCTGTACCATTGTGCTGACATGTAAACTGTTTAAAACATTTCCAGTGACTTTATTAGGGAAAATTCTGTTAGGTTATTTTTTTAGTTAGATAGATATTCAGAGATTTGTTGTCTAGGAATGTTAGTGCAGACAGGTTGACTAGCTCAGGCTGTTAACTGTTCAGCCAGAGTCATAAAAGTAACTCTCTCAGAGCTAAGAAAAACAAGGGGTCCTTCAACTGATCACAAACCAACAGACTACCCACTGCAACTGGAGTTTTAGTGAGAACTGCAGCTGTAGTTTTCCAATGTGTCCCATCACCTTGGGGGGTGGGAGGCATTGATATACAGTGTCATGCTTTTTGAACAAAAACCCATTTTACTAGTACTGTACAACCTGTACATTTGCTTGTGTTTAGTCCAGAGGAGCATTGGCCTGCACATTTGTCAGTGTTTTATTTGGATGTTATACTATGTACTTGTGGCAGGTTAAATCACTTACCAACCACCCACTTCATCAGACTTAGTGCAGATAAAGTGAATGCGCTGACACTCGCCACCATTTGCAATGAGGCTACGGGCTCTTTTCAGGATCTTCCAGGCTTTCTCTGATGCTGCTCGATTAATTTCAGTCACAATCCACACGGTAGAGCAACTTCCAACAAGCTGAAGAGAAATAACAGTAAGTTTCTTGTGAATAATTAATTATCAGTCATTTGTAATAACATTGTGTTAGTTTTCAGATCATTTTAACACAACAAACAGCAGTGCATGTGAATAAATTACCTCTTTCCACATTCTGTCTCTGCTCTTGTTACAGTCCCTATTTCCAGATGTCACAAGTGTGACATGTTGGAGAAGATCATTACTAGGAACCCTGACAGTCACACACTTCACTAGTGGCCAATACCACCTCTTCACTTCTTTACCTTCTCCTTGATTTAGGTCACTTCTAGTATATTTGATAATTTTTGCAGATAGCTCTTCAGCCTGTATAAAAAAGTAAAATACAATTAAGAGAATGGAAGGTGATTGTAATTTTATAAATGTCCAAAGTGTTTTTCAAATTGCACAGATAAGGGGCAGCATGATGGCACGGTGGTTAGTGCTGTTGCCTCACAGCAAGAAGGTTCTGGGCTTGTGCCCTGGCTGACACAGTGCCTTTCTCTGCGGAGTTTGCATGTCCTTCCTGTGCCTGCATGGGTTCTCTCTGGGTTCCCCCAACAGTTCAAAGACATGCAGCTTACGTTGATTGGAGTGGTTGTATAACCAACCACAGGGGTTTCACTGCAGTGACTTCTGTGCCAGTCCCAAGCCCAGATAAATAGAGAGGGTTGTGTCAGGAAGGGCATCCGGTGTAAAACCGTGCCAAGTTACTCATGCGAATTGGATTCGCTGTGTCAACCCCTAATGGGCACAGCTGAAAGCAGTGTTAGTAGAAGAAGTAGTAGTTTCTTTTAAAAATGAGAATTTAAACACTATCATTGAATGAAATTTTACCATTACATCAAAAATGGATGAATTGTAAATCCAAAGTGGAGGCAAACGGTCAATTTTTGTCAGGTTTGCTCTGGCCTCCCTCACCTTTCCTACTGTCTCTTGCCCATTAACACTAATTACGTTCACCTGTTCCTCACTCCCTTATCACCAGCTGCACTTGATTAGGTTGCTCACTATATTACCCGGTTTCACTCCTCAGTCACTTGCCAGTTCGTTCTAGTCTCTAGGCCATTTTTTCTCCATGCTCTTTCGTTTTTTGTATGTATTTATTCCCTAGCCAGCTACTGTTTTGTGTTCCCCCCCATGGACTGTTCCTCCGGACCGTGGCTCCACTTACTACTCATCGACAGGACTACGCACTATTTCCCTCTGTGCATTTTGTTTACTCTCATCATCACTGTACATAATAAATCACTGCTTGCATCGAAGTCGGCTACCTGGGTCCGCCTCTTTCTCGTTCGCTCACTGACAGGTGCGAACCGCACATAACAATTTTGTGTGACTGTGATTAAAGATCAGAATTAAGGACAACATGTCACCACTTTCCCTTGTTTTCTTTGTAGATGACAAAATCATTTTTCCATTTACTATAAAACTGGGATTTCAATCTCTAAGTTTTATTGCACATATCCTTCCTCTTTAACAGAGCTCTTTAACTCTTCTCCTCCACCACTTTCTCCACACACCGAGAGTGACCCACAGGATGCCGGTGCATGTGAAAGAGGAGGACAACATCTGATAACACACACTGACCTCTTTTTGGATGATCAATTTTCCATTAAGTGTCACGTTCCAAACATTCCTTGCTTGCAGACTATCTGCTCTACCAAACACAGTGCTTTCCTTCACTTGTGCTTAAAGTGATGCAAGTAAGAGGTTTTAAAATCTCACTTACTGATTTACATTCCAAAATCTTTAGCTTGGATTTGAGAAATTCTGGAATTTCTCTGAAATGTTTGTCATCCATCAGGTTTTCAAAGGATGTTTTTTCCATTCTCTCCCAATATCTTCTCCATAAAATGCTGACAGCTTTTCAACAGTGTCACAATCATCATCATCATCATCATCATCATCTTGTTCTTGATCTGTATTATCCCCAAGAATATGGTACAGGGACCACAACTCATCTTTCCACTCCTAAAAAGCAAAATAATGGTTAACTTAATATAATTAAATGACATGTAGAGTAAACAAACAACTGTATTTGTGTGGATATATTGTCACTTTTCAACCAGCTTCAAGTCAACATAAACATAATCAGCTCATTTTACCTCTTTTGTAATGAACTCAATCTCTGCCTCATACTTCAGGCTGTCCATGTTAGTCTCCACTTTAATCATGACTGAGGTACATGCACTGCCACTGTCCGTGGGCAAAAGATCCTTCTCTCCAATGATCGCATTTATTAGAGAGTTCTTTCCAGCACCGGTTCTACCAAAGACACCAACCAGCTCCTTTCTGTCTGTCTCCAAATCACTGATTTTATTCCTGTTGTACAAAGAGTTTAAATGTGGATTAAATGATTAGTTTGGAAAATATAAAAATGCTGAAAGAAAAAACAAAATTAGGAAGATATCTGTACTGGGAAACATGATATAAGTTTGTCATTTCATGTTAATCTGACTTAGAATGTCTCTTTTCAGACCACTAAACAGATAAATTGAATGAATGAATTGCTAAGAGTTTACTCAAATCAAGTTTTTTAAGAAACAAAATTAGCATACTTCCCAGCATGCATTGTTCAGAAGTTAACACCTAAGAAATTCTCCTATTTGTATTTTGAGGAGCCCATTCACAGTGGACTCCTTCTGTGTTTGTAATATAGGCTAATATTAAATAAAGTCATAGTTGTTTCTTTTTATAATAATGAAAACAATGCAAATTTAGTGCACTGAAATTAAATTTTTAAGTGAAAATAATAGAGCAAAAAAATTGATATTACTAAAGATTTTCACAGAGGCTGTATGTGCAACAGTCAGCAATAAATATGCAATTATTCATGTGCAATTGTGCATGTAGTGTGATGGCAATTGAAAAGGAAGACCTATATAAATTATACTAGCTATATTAAATTAAACCCTTTTAACCATAAATAGTCTTAGAAACACACTTGAGTACTGTGTGACAAAGTTTACCTTTAAGCAGTGCAACAAGAAAACATTTTTCCACTTGGAGCTGACTGTAGCTGTACATGCTGCTACTTGAACTGTTCAGTACGTCACTATCATTACAACTCATTCAAAGTTATTCAAACTCACTCTGCTGATGCTGGTCTCACTATGGCAAGCCCCTCTAACATTATGTAGGTGGACAGCAGTGATGTGCGGTGAGGTTGATGCCTGGTGAGGCACTGACTCTTTTACAGT